AGAAGCTACTAGGGGCTCCTGGCCTTACTAGTAGTAACAAGAAGCTAGTAGAAACAATAAGCTATTAGGAACAAGTGCATCGATACTAGTAACAAGTGCCTTACTACTAGTAACAAGAAGCTACTAGGGGCTCCTGGCCTTACTAGGAGTAACAAGAAGCTAGTAGAAACAATAAGCTATTAGGAACACGTGCATCGCTACTAGAAACAAGTGCCTTACTACTAGTAACAAGAAGCTACTAGGGGCTCCTGGCCTTACTAGTAGTAACAAGAAGCTAGTAGGAAGCAAGAGGCTCTCGCGACGTCTAAGACTCTCGCGACGCCAGCTTGGCACTGACTGGCCTTTTTCACACCGCAAGCCTGTTGGTTTTGCGAGAACACTCCGAGGCATTCGACAGGCATACGGTATGCTTAAAGGTTCAAGTAACAAAACCACAAGCTGGTCCCATGGACATGCTAAAGCCATTTTTGACGCGCTTTAAACGTCCAAGGAACTCAAACAAACTGCTTGAAACCCGTCCTGCAGCCGACCAGAGCCATGCAATCTGCAGAAGGAATTCCCCAGTTGTAGCTGCTCGAAATGCGAAGGATCCATGGATGAAAGAGATCCTGCAATGTCACTCAACATTAGGATTCTGATAGAAGTCTCTTCAAGCAAGGCTTAACTTGTCCAGGAAGAAAAGGAAGCAAAACCTGTGCAGAGTTCATACAGTACAGGCTCCAGAGCTTTCTGTCTGGAAGGCTGTGCACGCTGTTTGCGTAGCACAGAGCAATGACTGCACAAGCTGCTACCGCACCAATCGCGATCCATCCCTGCAGGAATGCAATGAACAGGAGTCTGTCACTTTGAATGTACAATGAAAGCGCACATTCATTAGAAGACATGAATGATGGTATGCTCTTTGAAAACAAACATACAGTATCCCTATTTGGGGAGATCCGTGTCAGTTGCCTCCTTGGATCTGCGCGGACCACTGCGACAACATGAGCTCGGTCTCTCCACAAGAAGAGCCACCTAATTCCAATTCCAAATGGTGTTCAAGTGCAGCAACTCTTCCAAGTCCATAGACGACATGCTGCCAAGACACAGGCACATAGAGGGCACATCCCAGAGCTATTAGGTAATGTGATGCGTTCACAACCTGAAGGTAGTGAAGGGCCTAGAGGCCTAAACTGCTTTACGCAAACGAAATGACACCCTTTATAGTATCTCAGCTCGAAGCCCGTTCAAACACAACCAGGAATAAATGCAATCCAGCCTGTGACAAGTCGATCATGTGGCCACAGGATTGGCAATATTAGGCGAAAACATGAAGCCGCAAAACCATAGCCTCCAAGGCATAAAGCACCATGAAGCAGGTCAGCGATGACAGGAGCACTGTCCACGGAAGTGCTATGAGGATTGCCTTTCTCAAAAGTCCAACGCATTAATATAATTGTGTCTACACGTGTTTGTACAATTCGGCTGGGCATCACACCTGCGCATCTCGTTTTGAAAAGCCCTGGGCAATGTGCAAAGAGTAGTCAGTAGTCTTGGCGATTGGTCCTACAGCTACAGTATGGTGATCATGTTCTTTTCTGAAAGTGGTTTAGCCTTGCAGGACATAGACATGAATTGCCAGTTAAGCCAACAACCAGGGTGTGTTTCCAAGCCGTGTAGGTTTTGTCCAATACAAGCCACAACATGCTTTGCACTCACACAATACTTGCAAGAACTCTATCATGCAAGACACCTCAAGCCAGGCACCACTCTCTGCATGCATCTGTGGTGCCCGGTAGAGTGTCGACCATTCCTCCTGGCCAAGGGAACCCACACATGGTGAATCGTCTCCGAAGTTCTGACAAGACTTGAGCATTGTCACTCCTTCATTGATCTTGGACCTGAGCCAAAACAAAAAACACTTGGATACCGTAGATCAACGAAGCGTCTTGTTCGCCCACATTCAACCCATTGAGATCCTCCGTCAACACCTGAAACTGCCTTTATCTTCCCCCTATTGCGGGGTCTTGCTGAGCACAGGACAAATTGGCAGAAACGCCAGCACATGTTCAAAAGGTGCGTTTAAGCCATGGTTTCAATGGAATCTGAGATCTGCAGAGAGATGTGCAGCTAGTGGTTCTTTGAACACATGGTTTATCCGATCCCGTCTTTTTGGGCCTGAATGCTGCAGAGCAAATCTGGGGTGGCAAACACAAAAAACAATGAAGCGATCAACATGGGCGGTGAACCTCTCTTAGGCGCCAAGTGGCAAAACTCAGCTTGAAGGTCTACGGATGGCGTGTAAGGTACATTACCTTGAGGCAGGCTTGTAACTCAATTTCAAATTCCTGGCCTTCGTTTTGGTGCTTTGGCTTCGTCATGTTCATCGAGTAAATTGTCGAAAAGCATCCTTTGAATCAAGGACGGCACCTGACTAGTAGCGCCCTCCAAGGTGATGAAGGACATAGAACGCGTGAAACAGCGTATGACTGAGCCACAAATGTTGGTGGGAAGAGGCACGTTTCGTCTTCAAATTCAATGATGGGTGTTGCAATCAAGCCCCAATCTGTCCGTCTGCCAAAGGTGTGGCAATGCAATTCGTCACTGCGCAGCAAGCGAGTTATTCTCCGCCCACTTTGGGTCGGGTCCGCGAAAATTATGAAAAACCAATCGCGAAGCACCAGGCCAACCCGACAGGTGAATACTATTGCGGCAGTCCTGCGCAAGGCCATCCAATCAACAATGCGGATGGTATTCATCGTACAAACACACTGCAGGAATACAAAAGTAGGGAAACTGCTTGAGAAGAGTCGTTGCAACAACAAGTACGAATCTGAAACACCAACATGCTGGAAGCAGGGGGTTGAACTGCAGTGCACGCAATGAAACTACAACATGATCTTTGTTAGGAAAACCTTACGTGCACCGCTCAACCCAATGAGGACTCATAGACCTTATCTTTTTAGTAAAGATGGATATATATATATATATATGTATTCGTTCTTTCAGAAGGACTCATGGATGATTAATTAAATGATGCACATTGCCGGCCAGCTGCCCAGTCTGCAGCTAGCTTTGGTCCAACCACTCGATTCTACTGCTAGTCTAAGGGCGTTTCTCTCCACATCAAGCAAGGTAGATCTGCTTATGCTCCAACATGCCACAAAACGCAAGCTATGCTTGAGTGGAAGAACGTCATACAGAATACTCACTAGCCCGATGTATTCCAATGCATACACACAAGCATCGATGACAATGCCAAGTCAGCCAACCAATTCATGGCTGAGAGAGGTCCATGCATGTCTTTCCCTCAACTTGTTGGAGAAAACCATGAAAGTCTAGTAGCTTCTTGTAACTACTAGCGTCCTTGTTACTACTAGTAAGGCACTTGTTACTAGAAGCGATGCACTTGTTACTAGTAGCTGCGCTTGAAGAGGTCCATGAAAGTGGGGCTCCCCACATGCCAAACTGAAAGGCATGTGAACGAGCATGATGCCTGCCTCGTTTTGGGCTGTCTCCAGGAACGCGAGCAGGAACGCTTGGTCGCACTGGCCGCGGCCGATCACCTCCCAATGAGCAGCATTTGAGACTCCCAAGTTCGCGTCAAACCACCTAGAACTCGAGCTCCCGGTGTTTGCTTTGGAATGGCCGTCCTGGAGATCTGAGCAACAAGTCTGGAAGACAATACAAGAAGGAAGCTTGAAGACATTTGAAGAATTTTGAAGACACTCAAGTTACTAAGATAAGTAGGCAAGCCAAAGGGCTCAAAAAGCCCCACCTTTTTGGTTGGGCAGGTGACGGAGGTGATCGAGGATTCTGAACTGTTTTGCCTAGGCTGCATTTTGATTAAGCAGATCGGACGAATGAGAAATGTTCGAGAAATGCGATCACCCCTTGCTGAGCAATCGGCGGTCAGGGCGTTCAGATACGACTCCTGGGACTGCAGACCTGGAGCTTAAGGCTTAAGGGGTTGCTTGCCGCCAAATGCCAAGCCTCTCGTGGTAGCTCTGCAGGTGTCTGTCTATAAGATCCATTTCAAAAGTCCATGCTGTTCATGGCTGTTGAAGGATGGGGCACTGTTGAAAAGTCCATCAAAGGGTTGCGAGTCATCAGTAATCTCCCCAAAAAAGATCAAGAAAGCCACTGGTAGCAGAGCCTGCTCGTGGTTTGCACAGGCTTCATACTCAGACCTGCTCCAGACCTCGTCCATCAGGCTTCACAAGTGATTGGTGTAGCACATGTAGGGCACACATCTATCGTAGCATTCCTGTATAATGTCTGTACATGTATGTGGAACAAGGACGCTATTACAGTAGGGGCTCCTGGCATCGCTACTAGTTACTAGGAGCAAGGACGCTATTAGGGGCTCCTGGCCATACTACTAGTAACAATGTTTGCTATTAGAAACAAGAATTCAAAAGAATGTATGGCTCCAATACATCGGAGCTGTACGGAGCTGCTCTCAAGGATGGAGATGCAAAGGCAGCGGGCCTCAATCAATGTAAAAGCATGCTGTTGAAGGGTGGAAGCCTCCATGCTTAGTGCACTAGTAATGCAACTTTTTTGACACATGAAGCAACATCAAACGTGAATTCTTCACGTGGGTGTTTTGTTTGCTTGGTGCGTTTGCTCAGGGAGGAGCTGGAAGGTCTGTCCTGGCAGTGAGGCCTGAGGTACATGGAGGGTGATGGGAGCTCATATCCTTTTGGACAGAAAAAGGAAATCTGATTCACATTAACAAAGAAATATGGTTTGATACATTTGTCAAAATACTATTGACCGGTGCTCAAAGTCTGCTAACAGGTCATTGAATCCATCGAATCGTGTGTCCCTTTTTTCCAAAATCTCGGAGCCGTTTCGAACAAGCGACGGAGTCTGACACTTGCGAAACGGTAGCATCTTCGTTCTACCGAAGCAGCTTCTCTTGCTTACTGGCTACTTTACCTAGCTTGCCTAGCTGCTTTACAATTTGCCGTATCTGAAAAGTGAAATGTCAATCGACAGCAGAATCATGGCCTGGCTACTTTGGGGTGGTGAACTTGTGTCCTGCAGCTTGTAGCAGAACATACTTTGATCATCTTGATCACAGTACACTGAAACCTTCGGTGTGCACACTGACCTGTCTGCCAACTGTGCTTTCTCTGCCTCACCAAATCTTGCCATGCGTGGGCTCTGCTTTTCCACTTCCCAAAGCGCATGGAAGACTTTGTCCACTAGCTGACTAAGTGCTTGGATGGCCTAGACTCTCAGGACTACTTGCCATTGAAAATCACAAATTCTCGATGGTTCATATAGTCTGCCTGCAAAGTGCTTCTCCAGTGCACACCCTTTGCCAAACTCGCACAAAAGCACAACAAACAAAAGCCATGATTGGGCATGGGCAAAGAGTTGGGGAGGCTTGTGCTTTGTGGGTCTTGCTGTTTCAGGGGAAAAATGGAAGTAAGTTCCTCTCCTTGACTCCTTGAAGGATTCTAAGGTGGCACACAAACAACCAGATTTGGAGCTTCGTTGCCATCAGCGAGTACGGAGATTTGTACTCTGTAGCCTCTCCTCACTGCCTATTGCCTTGGCGAGGTCTTTATGATTGTCCATTGCTCTCAGCAAGCCCAAGACTCCAGTGTCAGGGTCTCCAGCTGCAGAATGAGCCATTGGAAGGGGGTGGAATGGGGTGGAGGGCAGGGCTCACAACTCATGCCAAAGAGCTCCCCCTAGCAAAGGCCCTGATTTCCTGCGTTGCCTCGTAGAGGGTCTGTCCAAAGGCTCCCCATTTGACTTCCTCCAACCACTCATCCTGTCATCACTTATCACAGCTCAAAGTGCAGAAAGTGTAGTATGACTGTAACATAACTGAGAGGCCAGTCCTGTAGCTCCCCGCATACCAATGGTTCAGCCCCATCGATCTTGAGGTCAGTCAGCCGCTGGTCCTTGTTCATGTATTGCACTCACTGTGCGCACTCACTCGGAACTCCAAAACACCAACGTCCTCTGTAACCACCCGCTGCTGCCCATCATAGATGACCAATTTTCCTGGTAAATTCCCGCTCTAAGTCTATCATAGGGAAGGAACAAAAAATATATATATATATAATCAGGAGCAGCTCCAGGAGCGCACCTTTATACAATGTACAAACATGCACTGTTTCTTCGCACAAATCTTCTAGCTTCTGGGCATTCAGGTCTAAGCACTGGAAAGCCATGGTGAGCATCTGTGAACTAATGTGGTCGTGAGGCCGATTCCGGTGGGAACAACACTCCGGCCTTTTTCATAGGCTGGCATGCGAAACTCCTTGCACTTGTACAACAGGACCTGCCTCAAAAACAGTGGTATTAAAGGATATTAAAGGTGCAATGTGCAACTGTGCAACAAACGACACGGTCACTCCATAGGACGAAGTCACTTTGCAATTTCGATGCCCTGTTCTGTGCTCAGCTTCTTCATAAGATCCCCAAGTTTCGCGTCACCGTCAAATGCCATCGAGGTCGTGTTTTTCTTGACAATGACCTGCACAAGTAAAACGAGCAAGCTTGAAAAGTACGTCAAGTTTGGCCGTTACCAGCCTCAACTGTTGGCATGGTGAATGCACAGGACGTGGCCAAAAGGTAAACCAACAGCTGAGGTTTGATCAAGTGTCTTCCTAAATGTGCTTGTGTGTGTGTGTGTGTCGGTATTCGGCGAACTTCCTTGATCAGGCACCTCTCTGTATGACGTGTCTGAACTTAAATGCATGCTCTGCCTGTCTAGTCTTGACCCAAAAAAACACATTCAAGAATGACCAAGCAGTAGAATAACTTTGCTTTCAATTGTTTGGTCAATAAAGGCCCTGCACACAAACTTCTCCCATCTCCTGTGGAGATGGCATGGACCGTGCTCCTAATCAAGCTTTGTCTAGCTAACTCGCAAGAGACACGTTCACGAGAAAGGAAACAAACACAAATGTCCAGGCTAGAATTATGTGGAGCCGCTCAAGAAATTGGCCTTTGGACAACAAACTGCCGTTACCTGCTCTGAATCTTTCAGCTGCCGTCCTGCTGCACCAGGCTGCGGCGTCGAGGTGCCCCTTGACACTTCTTGTGAAAGCTGAGACAGCTGACAGGGGCAACTAAGCTCGCTAAGCTG